ATTGATGAAAATACGCAAAGGAAAATGTGTTGATCAGAAGATGCCTATAAAAAAACGTCTTTTGTCTTTATGAGTTTTATACCGATCAATGGCCCAGACATCGCTCTTTCGAATGGTGAAAACCGCAGCTGTCTATCTCTTTTCTATCAAAAGTTATTCAAAAAATACTCAGTGCTCTTTTATTTTGAAATGGATATTAGTTTTGATGCATCCTAATCGCGAAACGCGTCTAAACGCATGCAAAACTTTGCAACGCGTTCAAACACCCCTATGATGAACGCATTCCAGTGCGTTTGGAGGCAGTTTCAATTGTGAGACGCGTTTAAACGCGTCAAAAAAGCGTTTCATGGTTACATGGGCGCAAGGGAAAAAGGAAACGCAATTGCTGTTAGTTTTCAAAAAAAAGTTTATCATCACTTAGTACCATACAAAACGTTCCAGTAAACGACTGAGCAAGAAATGGAAGAGACAGGTAAGTATTGTTATTTATTCATATGGAAAATTTTTTGATCGAATTTGATTTTTTCTTGCATATTAATATAGAAGTTTTGTTTCGATTATAATACAATGCTATCAAATATCCAGTATTGGGAACAATTTAGTGCATTGATATTATATTTTTCTGTTTTAACTAAACCGATATCTAATCAAGGTTTAGCATGTTATAAATGTATGACAAATAATACAGAAAATGATGGTTGTCGAGATCCATTTTCATCATTAATTAATCCAATTCACATTAATTGTCAGGTAGATTTGATGATTCTTTTTGTTGTTTAAAGAAAAATAATTTTTCATATATATAAAAGAAAAAAACCTTGTCGATTTTATGTCAAAAGTAATTATTTTCTATCTGTTTAATTTTTTTCCCTCGAGCACACAAATTGAATAATTTAATTACCAATACTAGAGTTAGTTATAAATGATGGGGGCATAGGGCACTTGAGAGTACAAAAACTAATTTACTTTTCAAATGAATAGCATAAGAATCTTGAATTTATTCAGGCAACATCTGTGGGCAAGAATGGAACATTTCCGGTTCGATTCTGTGTAAAAATTAGTGGTCGTATATTAAGTATTGATGGTAATGCTAATGCATCTTATTTAAATACTGTTATTTATTATCGTACATGTGTTGTTGATAATATTATGGAATCAACAAAATCATTAGAAACATCAGGCAATTTTTGATTAAAAGGTTTTCAACGTTGGACTGGCTCTATTCGTCTACAAGGTTCTATGTCACTTGGTGCATTTGATGGTTGTAATATTGCACAAAATTTATATTCATCATTAATAATTACTATTACTACTTTATTGATAACTATGTACATAAGTTGTTTTTATTACTAAATATGATGATAATGTTAAATGAAAAATTAGATAGATATTTAAATTATTAATTTTTTTAAAAATAAATGTGAATTATTTTCGTAGAAGAAAAAGCTTGTAAAAACTTCGTAAATTTATGTTTGTGTAAAATTTTATTTTTTAAACTTATGATAATACAAGCATGATAAACAATGATGAAATTCTCAAGGGAATATGATCAAGGCTTTCAATACGATTTCATCATTGATTGAATCCATGATTCTTCTTTCTTACTTTGTATAATCTTCAACAAATAGTATATTAGATTTCTAATAGATTATATTTTTTTCTGCTCTGTCCTTATCTATGATGAAAAAACAAAGTTGACAATTTAATACACTTTATGAATAAAAAAAATGTATCATTAATTAAAGTCTTAGAAATGGTGGTCTCCAACCATCTTGTAAAGTATCTTTCATTGTTTTCTTTACACTTTCTATAGTTTCCATTCGATTCATCCATGCAGCTAATTTGGTAAATTGTGCCGATTCTCCTTGAATACATTTTCCTTCATTAATAGCACGAAGATCAGCTAAAGGTGGATAGCAAAAAAAATCTGCCCATGTTATATTATCACCAGCAGGAAATTGTTTGTTGTCTTTAAGTGCAGAATATTGTTCAAGTTTAGTAAGAATTTGATGAAGTTGCTGTACAGAATCAGTAAGTAGAGAAACAATTTCATTTTCTTGTTTTTGATCTTTTTCAAATTTGAGACGAGCTTTAATAACTGGTGGTTCAACACTGTTAAAAACATAATTAGAAGCCATTGAAATAAGTTCATCAATACGAGCATTTGTAAAAATATCATTTAAATCCGATGAAATACGAGATGGTCGAAGAGGAGTTTCAGGCCAAATAGCATCAATAAAATTGGTAATAGCTGCACTTTCAATTAATGTTTGTTTTTTACCATCATATTCAAAATTGAAACTAGGTATACGTTCAAATGGATGATATTTATTTGCTATATCTGTATGTGGTAGTGCAAAGATTAATTTGTATGGAATAGATTTTTCTTCAAGTCCTAAACGAATCGTTCGAGTAAATGTAGAAAATGGAATACCAACAAGTTCAACATTGATAAGTTCTTTCGACATGTTATTGTTATAGATAAAAAGAAAAACGATTTCTAATCTAAAAAAAGAAGAATAACAACAAATGTTTGATTATTACCATGTGATATATTATTGTTATCAAGATTGTATTTATTTACTTTTCTATAGTATACAAAAAAGAAACGAAAAGTATGTGTCACTTATTTTCACATATCATACAAAAGACCAATAGTAATCACCGTAGATATGTGCATATCTCGCTGTCTACTTTGTTTATTGAAATTATAAACAAGAATATAAATTTTCAATTTATTACAAATTCAACAAGTAAAGATATCATACAATCATTTCAAGTACATACCTGTCTAAGATAACTTTGCGAAGGAAATTTACAAAAATAAAACCTCAAATTTTGTTCATTGAATATATAATAAACAGATTATGTTTTCGATTGTGATTTTCGTTTAGAACGACTTCGTGATCGACTAGACTTTTTAGTAGATTTTTTTTTCTATTATTCTTCTTTGTCCTCTTTCGTATGGATTGTGACGATTTTTTTGGCTTTGACACGTTTTGAAGACTTGACTTTTAGTAGTCTTTCTGATTTATCTACTGTAGTTTTCACTTGAGCTGGTATATCTTTCTTGCCAGAAACAAATGGTACTGTATTTTCTTGCTGATTTTCTATTATTTGTGGCTGTTGTTGAACAGACATAGATTCTGATGAATATTTTTGTTGTTTTTCTTGTTGACGTTTTGCTGATTGTATTGAATAATAGAGTAATTCAGCATCAAGTGGTAATAGAACTTCAGGATCAATAATTTTCTTATTATAAACAATGGGTGTATTAAGTGTTTTGTATGCATCATCTGAACATAATGCATATGATGACCAACATGCATCGATATAATCATATTCTCCTGTTGATTTCGACCATTTTCGACAACTTTCAGCAGTATTTCGACCACATCACAAACAAAGTTGATGAGTTGGCCAACAAATATCTAAAATAATTCGTAGTTAATAATAATATAAAAGTCAATCTTATTATTTATCGAACTTTTACAACACATTTCTACATAAGCCGGTCGTTTAATAAGTTTTGGTAATGATTGCATTTATGAAAATGGTGGTTCTTCTGGTTTAGTTTTCCAACTAAAACTACGTGTAAAACGATGTGAATGTTTTTGAAAATCATCAGGAAATGCTTGTTGTGAATTACAAGCAGAACTTTTCGTTGACAATTGATTATTATATGTAGGAGATTCATTCAAACGAGATCGATGAACAAGTGTTGATCGAGGTATTCGAACAATGCCATTCTTTGTCTTTATTTCGACACAATCATCTGATAGTAAAGATCTGGTAAAATTATTATTTTTCCCATTGAATGGTACATAAAATGTATTAGGTAATTTGAGCTGTGAATTATCAAGTACAGTAGATAAATTCGGTAGAGGAACATATAGAGGAGCATAGAGTGGTCGATTTATATAGTCTTTTTCAGTTAAACGACAATCTGGACAATCAATATTTGATGGTACATAATGAACACAATACAATCGAGAATGAGTATCGACAGCAAGAATTCATTTATTTACTTAATATGTGCGCCTTTTCTTTGTAAAACTAAACAATAATAATAATTGTTAAAGACAAAAAAATAATAAAGTTACTTCATAAATCATTGATTTATTATTGAATAATGATGTATTTTTTTTCCTACTCATATGTTTTTTTCTTTCTTCGATTTGACGATTGCGAAATTGTTCGTGAGACAAAATATAAAACAGAATGAAAAAAAATAATAATTGCACAACATGTACCATCAACTAACATAAATACAGGTAAATGATGTATGTAAATCGGTCGAGCCGCGCTTTCGGACTTTACCATTGTACTCCTTCCTCATGAGCCATAAGCATTAGGATGCGAAATTTCGGTTTCGCAGGTCCGAAAGTAAATCGACACTCGACCTTAATTTTTTTTCAAGTCCAAACATAATATGTTTCTGCTTGGATTAGAAATCAATAACATTTATTTTTTTTTCGATTGATTTGATCGTTAATGATGCTCGATTCTCTCGGAGTCATGAGGATTACGAAACTGTGAATTACAATTAATATTATGTATTTGATTTTTATTAGGTTTTTATATCAATGATTGAGAAGTATTTAATATTGACTAGATCTTTTTAAAATAATTATAGAAAACAAAAAAAAAAACCAAAATTGTAAATATATTATTGTTGTTTAAGTCACTTTTCGATGTTGTTTTTGCATTGAATATAATCGTGCACGTTGATAAATTGGATCATTATCGACATCTTGTAATGTTATACATCGACTAAATATATAGGCAATAATAAATGTCATAAAACCAAATAGAATATACCAAGATTTTTCATCAAAATATGTTGGTAAACTAGATTGAAATTTAATAAGAATATTTTTTTCGATATAAATATACGGTCGAGTTAAAAACCCTAATAAACTATTAATAATACGCAATATGATTGATATTATGATCTATAATAAAATACCGAAAAATTTTCTTTTCAGATCTCTTCTCTATTTCACCGAAGTTTTATTCTATATATTTATTTTATTAATAGCTAATCACACTATAGGATGTTATTGATGAGGTTTTTTTCTATTTAAAAAAATATAGGATTAAATGAAGACTTTAGAAATGGAACAAAGAAGACAAAAAAAATGAGATTATCACACAAAAAATATAAAGAATAATGAGAAGAAATATATTTGCATATTCACTAATATTTTCTAGTCACATGAAATGTTTAGAATTTGTATCTATTATCGATAATTGATCTTGTCCGAAATTTGTAGGTGTTTTAGATATTTGATTTGTTGGTGATAGTATTGGTGAATTTGTTTTTTTTCGTGCTGTTTTTAATCGTTCAAGTTCTTGTAATAATTGACGATGTTGTAATTCAAGTTGTTTTTGACGAAAATTATTAAGTACTTCTAATTCTTCACATTCTTCCGCTAAAATCAACAAAACAAAAATTTATTGTAAATATTTATTTTTCATTCAATAGTATTATTTACAAATAAAGAGATTTTCTGTTGTAGAATGTTCATCTTTAAGTTCAGCAACATGATCAAATATTAAACTATCAATACGTAATTCTAATAAACATTTTGATACTTCTTTATCACCTTAATTAAAATAAAAAATAAAGAATTAAAAAAAAAAATTTCTACGAAAGAAAATTCTTACTTGCTTCATCACCCCAAATAAATAATAATTTTCCATTATCTTTAACTTGTTTAACAAATTCTTTATTTGAAAGAATATCAAGTACTGGTGCAGCTAAATCTGATAAATGTTCGGTAATAACAAAATATAATTCAATATTAATCGACCATGTTCGAACATCTAAAAATTGTGGCCAATCACCTTTTTCACCTTGTGTTAAAAATAAAACGGGAAATAATGTTTGTTTAAGACGAAGCATTGATACACAATCAGGATCAAATGTTGATAGAATAATAACACGTTTACCAGCTAGAACAAAAAAAAAACGACAAATTAAAAGAAAGAAAATATCGATTTGTTTTCTATTTACCATGATTAATAAGACATTGAAGAATACAATCAATATATTCATTTCGTTCAAAATAATGATTTTGTTCACTTCCACCATGTCGATATTCCATAGCATATTTTATTTCAACATTAAATCCAAGATGAGAATTAAGTGTTTCAAAAAGTTCTTCTAATGTTGGAAATAAAAAACGAAATTGTTTTTTCATCATGTTGTTGTTGTTTTAATTGATTTACTGTTGTTGACATTTGATCATTATCTATATTTATTGATGATGTATATATTGTTGTTGTTGATGTTAAATTATTATTATTATTATTAATTGTATTTGTTTGTTCATCATCATCTAATTCTTCATCAACTTTTGATACATCTGTTTTACTTGCATGATAAATTTTTAATGATTATAATTGTGGTAATGTTAAATCTTTAACTGGTACCATAAATAATTCGGTTTGTTGTCTTTTACGTTTAAGTGTAATAGCAACTTGAAAATCATGATAAACAATAGGAATTTTATCTTTTGATAATTGTATATCAAATTCAACAAAATCAAAACCAAGTTGAAATGCACCTTTAAATGAAGCTAATGTATTTTCACTAACAAATTTTGTTTGAACAGGTCGTGTCGCTGATGGAAATGATGGTGTTATTGAATCATTTGTATGTTTTTTATTTAAGGGAGGCCCCCTCAGAAAATCGATTTTTTTCAAACAATATCGAAATTAAGTTTTTACCACAGGAAGATAGAGCGAAGCTTCCTCTTTCAGAATATATATAGATTTTTGGAAAATGATCCATTTTTCAAAGACTTGTCAGATCAGATTTTAACTTCCCGACCATATTTTCCGAGAAGTTTTCGTGGTTTTTTAAAGTTTCCCAGTGAAAAATATTTGCTTCAAAGAACGGGAAAGAACGCGTTCCATAAAATTAAAAGCCGTTTTTTTAAGAAAAGAAAACGTTCCAACAAAAGTGGAAACTGTTCCAAAATGAAACCATTAAGAACACATTCCATGGTTTTTGGAATGCGTTCTTAACTGTTCCAGCTTTTTTGGAACGTTTTCTTTTCTCAAAAAAAGCTAACTCTTTGTGGAACACACTCTTGATTGTCATTGCCTGAATATAGATTCACTATAGGAGTTCTCGAGGAGAAGTTCGGACATAATTTTTTGAAAGATCGATTCTAGTGCAACTCGACGAGCTCTATCCAATGGCGTGCTCTAATTTTTCGTAGCTCAAACTGTTATTTAAAAAAAAAAATTTTGGAATCAGAACTGCCAGTTGTAAAGTATGACTAATTGAAGGTTCCACCATTTTTAGCATCAGTTTCAGGGTGCCGTACTTAAGAGCTGTCATTTTTGAATCAAAAGTGACGTTAAATTCAGATGAAAGCGTTCATCAGTCAAAAGAATCCATTCTCAGGTGTTTCTCAAGAGAATGTTAAAAAAAGCGGTCTCATTTCGATGGAATCCTATCTTGACTGTTTCGAAATAGAATGGGCAGACACACGTTCTATTGATTCATGGAATGGTTCAGAATGCTTTCTATCCAGGTAGAGAACAATTTTTGAACTGAGAAGAAAGCATTCCGTACTAGTGTGGAACAGTAAAGAATGCATTGCTTTAGATTCAGAACTTTTCTTTTTGTTTGTGAAAACGTTCGCAAACCTGTAGAACGCATTCTTCATGTAAAAGACAAGTCTCTACATTTTTATGAATGCGTTCTCTTCCGTTATTTTTAGAAATATTTTTCACTGGGTTTAATATGAATTTTTTTGAATTTGACCGAAAAAAATCACTTCTAAAACTTCTTTAAGGTTTTTCTCAGAACATGATTTCCAGTCAGAAAAATTGGAACTCTTCCCTCATTTTTCGAGCTATTACCAATAATTTTTTTTGTTTTAAAGATCTTGATCAGAGTAAACTTTTGTCCGAACGCATTTTTGAAAGTTGGTTCCTGGGCTGAGAAAAGTGGAATTTACTGTCGTTGGACTACCATTTTTTTATGCTAATTTTAAGACCCTCGCACTAAAATGCTCATAAAAAATGAACAATAAGGAATATAAAAATTCTGTTCAGACAAAAGTTGCGTACTGACATCAGGTTTAATTTGAAACCAGCCCGAGCTCTCTACCTCATCTGACGACGAAATTTTGTCGATTCTCCTGAAGGCCAAAAATGACCTATGAATCAGCTGGAACTCCGATCTAGTACGACCAATCGAGCTGAAATTTTTACCGGAAGCGTATCTCTCCAGGATCACTCATCCCTGAAAATTTCAGCGCAAAAGGACCATCCTAAGTGGAAAATCATTTCTGAGCCCCCCCCCTTAAATCATTTGATGATAATGATTGATGTTTCGATGGGATATGTTCAGTATTTGTTTTACATATAACAAAAGTTGTTGATTTGTTGTTTCTTTTTTTTTATATTCATACCTAAACCTCGATGACCAACATTAACTGGTCGTCAACCTTGACGCCAATATTTTGATGTTGAAACAAGAAAGTTTTGTTGAACACCTTCTAATGGTGTTATTAATAAAACATCAACTTTTAATCGTCCAATACTAAATCAAACGTAAAAGTTTTTTTTCCTACAAAAACCATCAATCAATACGAACGGATTATGTTTAAGTCCAATAATTGGTACAATACGATGAAAATGTTTATTATCTGCTAATTCAAGATTTGAATGTATTGGTAAAACATGCAAAACCAATATGTTTTCGTAATGGTGTTGTTTCATCAACAAGATAAAAATCAATATGATATGCAATATTTTCCGGTTCAAATGTTTGAATTTTAACAATCATATAATCATCTTTTTCAATAACAGCACCATAATCACTTTGAATAT